AACTGGAAGAGCTCTTTCATGTACATGAAAATGCTCTCTGGACGGACTGTTTCTAGAAACGTCTGAAGACTCTCCCATGCATGACCCCTTAGTACTTCAGTTACATGTCACTTTAGCACAGTGGGTTAATGCGAACGCAAAGTCGATTTGAACCACGAGGTCTGTGGTTCAAGCTCACCAGCTCCTCCTTGGAAACCCTATACAGGGTACACGGGATCGCTCTGAGTTGCAACTGACTCAGTGGTACTTAGCAACAACAACATGTTTGATATGACCTCAATTTGAAGATTTATGTGAAATCCTGATGCTCTCTGGGCTACGAGTTCTACTGATGTGAGAAGAAAGAAAAACAGAAAGTCAAATTTCTAAATCCTTACCTGAGTTTGCTCAATATCCTTTCAAACCCAACGCTGAGGAAGGACGAGTTTCTGTGTGGTGCAAATGATAAACATTATTTGCTGCTAACCTAAGGCTGGTGGTTCAAGTCCACTCAGAAGCATCTTGGAAGAAAAGACTGGTGATCTACTGAAAAATCTGCCATTGGAAACCCCATGGAGCAGAGTTCTAGTCGGACACACCTGGAGTTGTCCTAATCAGAATCTGCTTGATCACAAGTGGCACTGATAAGGAAGGACTGTGGCCCACTGTGGAAGAATTTATAAAGAGAACACTCATTATTCTTACCTTATTTTCTATAATTAACACTGCCGCTTTTGAAATGACCATTAAAAATGAAAAACCCAGACTCCAAATCAGCAAGTCAGCTCTCTGTGTTACTCCCCCTCCTCTGTCAGGCTGTTGTACTCTGGTGGCCTGTGTGCTGCTGTGACGCTGGACGTTATGTCACCAGTATTTTAAATATCAGCAGGGTGGACAGGTTTCAGCAAGATTGGCAGACTCAGGCAGACTAGGAAGAAGGAGAGGTGGACCACTTCTGAATGGCTAGCAACTGAAAACCTTATGAAAAATAGTAGAAACATTGTTTGATATATTTAATACAGGGTGATGGGCCCCGCAGGGTGGAAAGCACTCAAAATATGACTGGGGAAAAGCTGCTTAATGATGCAGATGGAGCAGTTTTCAGAACCTTCATTTACTGTTTCTACTCAAAATGAGAAGAAATAGCTGCAAATATCCATTAATAATTGGAATGTGGAATATAGCAAATATGAATCCTGGAAAATTGGAAGTTGTCAAAAATGAAATGGAACACATAAAGATCAATATTCTAGGCATTAGTGAGCTGAAATGGACTAGTACTGACCATTATGAATTAGATAATCATATGGCTTACTATGGCAAGAATAAGAAATTGCAGAGGAATGGTGTCACATTCATCATCAAAAAGAGCATTTCAAGATAGAATATCTATATACTACAAGGAATTCCAGGTAATATGACTATTATTCTAATGTATGCATCAACCACTAAAGCCAATGATAATGAAATTGAAGAATTCTGCCAACTTCTTCAGTATGAAATTGATCAAATATGCAATCAGGATGCACCTGATAATTACTGGTGATTGGAATGTGAAAGGTAGAAACCAAAAGGAAAGAATGGTAGTTGGAAAATATGGCCTTGGTGCTAGAAATGGTACTGGAGATCTTATGAGAGAATTTTGCAAGACCAATGACTCACTCCTTAACAAATATCTTTTTCAATAACATATCACATGCAAGTAAAATTTTGCTGAGGATAACTTACAAATGGTTTCAGTAATACATTGACAGGGAGCTGTAAGAAATTTAAGCTGGATTTAGAAGAGGACATAGAATGAGGGATATCATTGCTGATGTCAGATGGATCTTGGCTGAAAGTAGAGAATTCCAGAAAAATGTTTACTCATGCTTTATTGATTATGCAAATGTATTTGACTGTGTGGATCATAACATATGGATAACATTGGGAAGAATGGGAATTCCAGAAAATGTAATTATATTAATGAGGAACCTGTACATAGATCAAGAGGGAGTCATTCAAACAGAAAAAGGAGATACTGAATGGTTTTAAAATAGAAAAGGTGTGCATCAGGGTTGTGTTCTTTCACCATACTTATCCAATCTACATGCTGAGCAAATAATCAGAGAAGATGAATTATATGAAGAACATGGCATCAGGATTGGAGGAAGATTCATTAAGAACTTACAATATGCAGATGATACAACTTTGCTTTCTGGAAGCAAAGAGGACTTAATACACAACTTTCAGTATGGATTGCACCTCAGTGCAGAGAAAAAAAAAAAAAATCCTCACATCTGGACCCATAAATAACATCATGATAAATGGAGAAAAGATTGAAGTTTTCAAAGACTTATTTTATTTGATCCTGAATCAACTCGCATGGAAGCAGCAGTCAAGAAATCAAATGATGCATTGCATTGGGCAAATCTGCTGCAAAAGACCTTTTTAAAGTCCTGACAAGAAGATGTCAGTTTGAGGACTATGGTGTGCCTGACCTAAGCCATGGTATTTTCAATTGCCTCATAATGCATGAGAAAGCTGGACAGTGAATAAGGAAGATCAGAAAACAATTGATGCATTTTAATTATGTTGTTGGTGAAACATACTGAAAGTACCATGGACTGCCAGAAGAACAAACAAATCTGGTCTTGAAGACGTACAGCCAGAATGCTTCTTGGAAATATGGATGGCAAGACTTCACCTCATGTACTGTGGACATGTCAGGAAAGATCAGGCCCTGAAGAAAGACCTCATGCAATGTAAAGTGGAGGGTCAGCTACAAAGAGGAAGACCCTCAAAAAGATGGACTCACACAGTGGTAGCCCAATGGGCTTAAACATAACAACTGTGTGGCTGGCACAGAACCAGACAGTGATTCGTTCTGTTGTGCATAGAGTCGCTATGAGTTGGCACTGACTCGACAGCACCTAACAACAACAACCACAGAGTTTTAAGTCCACAAGAACAATAACTTTCCTAGTGTTTAAAGGAATCATCAAGTGACTTGACTAATATAGACATCAACAATGAACAGAGCCATCTCTGAAAAGAGCATCCTCTTCAAGATGACGTTATCTCCCACTGGATATAAGCAGAACAGTGCTGTCACACTGGCATGCCCATTCTGCATGTCTGAAGCTCCTGCTGAGTTCCAGGCATTGAGCTAGGCATGGGGGTACAATGGAGGCAAAACAGATGTGACCCAGCACCCATTAGGCTCATACATCTGACAAGGGCTTGCTACTCACTTCGAGCCAGTAAAGCAAGCCCTTCTCCCTTGAAAAGAAGAAACGTCATTGCTTCCTCCCTATGGTTCTTTGTGCCATTTCCCCTCACTGTAGTCTTGGAAAGGGTGTAGCTGTGAGCTTCCACTCAATGACCTTCTTTGTGGAGTTAGTGCTCAGCAGGACTTGTTTCATGAACTGATGCTGCCCCAACAATACTCATCGCCTTGGCAGAGGTGTTGTGGAGGAGCTGCTATGAAGTCTGCTACTTCTCAAGGTCCTCAGATGAAAGCACTGTGTACCTGCAGCATTCTAGTGTGCCCCTCTCTCACAGGCTCATTGAAAACTTCCATGAAGTCACAGGAGAAATGTGGCTCCAAGGCCCGGAGAACAGGACCCAGCATGGCCATCAGCATCAACTCCTCCTGCCAGGACGCTGCACCTTCTGACTGCACTTCCCTTCCCACATCAGGAGTGCTGCTGAGGGCACGGGAAAGTTTACCCTGCCCGACCTGCTGGGATCTAGGACTCAGCAGTGTTGTCACTAAATACACTCAGATTGCCCGATTGCCCACACTGACTTTCCTGAGCGAGTTGAGAATGATTTCAGCGCAGGGGAATTGTGTTCTTTTTCTTCCACAAAAAGAAGTGACTATAAACGTCAAATCTTTAAAAAAAAAAAAAGTGCCATATTAAAATTAACAAGAAGAACAAAAATAAAGATGAGAAAAAGGAAAGGAAAGAACATTAACAATTCAAGCGAGAGCTTAATGTAAAGAATGTTTGGATTATGTTTTAAAAGGAGAGGATGGAAATGTTTCTAGTCATGGTCTTCGATATTTAGCAATGGGACCTGTCCAATGTCCTCCGGAGGCTGCCCGGAGGTCTCGTGGAGTGCCTGGAAACCCCATTTGCCTGTGCACCAGAATCGCCAGGGAGCTGATTCAACATACATTCCACCCTTCTCCATGGCTCCAAACCAAGATCTCCAAGGGAGGGAGGTGGAAGCAACTGCTTTTACCCCACATGAGCCTCAGGCAGTCAGCCCAGCTTCAGTGCTGAGTTTGAGAACACAGCATACCTGTTCGAATGGTGCTTTGCGTATACTGCGTTTTTAACAATTCCAACCCACCCAGCCAAGCAAGTTTTTGGCACCATTCTGCCAACAGCATGTGCTCAGGTGCTCACTTCATGTCTCTGTAATTCTCACAATATTTCACTTTTTTTTGGTAATGCTATTACACATTTAATAGCTATAGTATAGTGTAACACAGCTCTTATATGCACTGGAAAACCACAACATTCGTGTGAGTTGCTTTATGGTGGTATACTAGAATGGAACCCACAATACTTCTGAGGTAAGCCTATAACTGGTTTGGAGACTTGGACCTGAAACTAGCAGACAGTGTCAAGCAGCAGATTACAGATCTGAATGTGAACTGCAGGTACCCTTCACTCTATCTGCAGAGTGGGATGAAAGATGAGTTTTCTATCTTAAAAAGACAATATGGCAACAGCATATGTGATTGCAGGTGAGCCGGGTGTAGAGAAGGCCTGCTCTGTGCGACCATCAGTCCCACACACGTCTGGACACTGTCCCAAAGAGGGCATGCCTTGCCCTATGATATGGTGACCTGCAGAGGATGAGGCACCAGCACTCAGAGTACAAACAAGGTAGAGAGGTCCCTGAAAGTAGATGTCAGACACTGGACCCCGGAGCTGAGGACATCTGTGTAAAGGATAATGTTCAAAAAGAGACTTGCCTCATCCTGCTTAGCAAAAAGCTTAGTCAAACAGGGTGTCCCCACGTACCTGCCCAGAGCTCCGAGGTTATGTGAGGGGCCATTGGTGCAGCCATCACCAACAGAGCACACAGAGCATCTTCAAACTCGGGACTGTGCAGAAGCACTCGCTGAGAAGCTTGCTACGGTGAGAAAAGAACACCAGTGTAAAGATACTGAAGTGGCAAAAAACAAGCATTGCTAAGAGACGACTGGATTCCGACTTCTAGCAAGCAGAGTAGACCGCCCCATAAGGTCTCCGAGGCTGTAAATATTTACACAAGTGGACTACCTCATTCTCCTTCTGAGGAGTGGCGGGTGGATTAGAACCATCAACCCTTCAATTAGCAGCCCGACACTCAACCCACTGCACCAGAAGGACTCCTAAGACATCGGAGTATATTCAACTGGGTTGAACAGTGCCCCTCTCCCCCACCAAAATTCATGTCACTAGGAACCAAAGAATGTGACTTTCTTTGGAAACAGTCTTTGCAGATGTCATTAACAAAACCCAAATTCACTGCTCTGGAATCAATTCCAACTTATGCTACTCTGTAGGCACAGCCAAACTGCCCCACTGGGGTCCCAAGACCATCACCTAAAGAGCAGCTAGTGGGTTTGAACTGGTGGCTGTTTGATTAGTAACTGGGTGCTTAACCGCCACACCACTGAATTAAGGTGGGTCCTAATCCAACGACTGGTGTTTTTATAAGAAGAGAATACAGACACATGGTGAGAACACCCTCTGCTAATAGAGACAGAGACTGGAGTTTTGCTGCCACAGACCAAGGAATGCCAAGGATTGCTGGCAACCGCCAGAAGCTAGGAGAGAGGCAGGAAACAGATTCTCCCTCTGAGCCCCCAGAAGGAATCAACACTGCCAACACCTAGACTTTGGACTTCTGGCCTCCTCCACTAAGAGAGAATAAATGTCTCCTGCAGGGTGGGAGAGCGGGAGCTCTCCTCATGGAATCGTAGTATTAGACATAGCTGCAGCTATCACTAGTAGATGACCATTTGCTAACTGTTGTGGTTCTCACAACTACCCTCTGAGGCGGGTATTCACTCAGGAACTCAGGCAGTGGGGTCATGAAAAAAACAGTATGGCCAGACTTCGAAAAGGGAGTCTTGGATTTCTCACTAACCAACTGCCTGGGCCCCAGTGGCCTTATCTGCAAGTATGGAGGAAATACCACTTGAAGGCCACACAGCCATGACTGAGGAGGTGCTGCTGTCTGTCCACAGTTACCATCTCATCACACAGCTGGAAGTGGTTCCCCCCTCTGCTGTCAGCCAGTGAGGACATGCAGGTCACTTACAGAGAGGGCCGCACTGAGCCCCATCAGCTGAGAAATGACGGAATTCAGGGAGAAGTCCTCTGTGAAATGGGCGGTCACCTAGAGGTAAACATGGAATGAATTCACTTTCTTCAAAAGCCTTTTAACATTTATACACACACACACACACCAAGTAGCAACAACAAATACTCTGAATTGTGAAAACTGTGAACTTCAATGAGTATAATCAAAAGTATTTATAATAGTATTCAGTACCTCAAATAATTATTGTACTGGCTCCTTAGTACAAAGATTTTTTAAAATTCAAGGACAGTATTCCCACAATTCAAGACAGTCCCTCTCCACGCCCCTGTATCTGGGACAGTTCTGGCTCCTGAGTCAGGAGCTCAAGGCTAGTAAGCAGGAGAGAGGATGGATGCGTGACTGTAATCACAATGCAGGGTAGTAACACATGAGGTATGGGGAGCTTTACATTTTAAAATGTGGAGTCAAAATAAGAACACCAATTCAATTTTTCTGTTGGGTTGTTTTGCAATTTTGACCATGGGTAAGAATATAAAAAGCAATGTGTCTTTAAGATGTTAAGTTTCCAAATTGTTGAAATAACCCAATTGATGATCTGACAGTATAGAAGAATTTGCCAAATTTGGAGAGAAAATATGTGGAATGAAAGCAATCGCTCAGGCATCACTCAGACCACTGAATTCAATTCAGGAGCACGATGTCTCCACAGGAAATGAAGCTGAATGGTCACTAAGGGAGAGCCATGTCTGATGCAGGGCCATTTCAGGTCACACAACAGAAATCTGCTCCTCTAGTCACCTTGCCTGACTTTTTAAGTTTGAATCAGCACATACCAAAAAAAAAAAAAAAAATCACATCACCATGGGAAGAATTTGGGTTAAACTGACTGACAATGGATCATGGCTGAACACCATGGTGAGTATGATTAATGACACTGATTTGTACCCTTAAAATTACTAAAATGGCAAATGTTTTGTTACACACATTTTACCACAATTTAAAAAAATGATTTAAGATTTCCTAAATGCCTTCTTTCAAAGACATATAACATTTTTTTTGGACAAAGTTCTTTAAAAAGGCAAATACCATTATAACAAAGCTCTACAAAAAATACTTAGAATCATTCCTTATTGATAAAAATGCATCTTTTTAAACTTTTTATTGTGAATTGAGAGATGGTTTACTGACAAGATCATCAGTTTTACATTTAACAAATCAAACAGTTTGTTGATGGAAATTTAAAAAATGATTTAGATAATAATATGTGATTCTCTACGTAGGTAACATAAATTATTATTTTGCCAAACACACTCATTAATGACTGACAACGTGATGGCACAGGGAAGTCCCTGCCATGGGGACTTTGTTCTTTGTTCTGTTCATGACTAACTGTGACTTTGCACAAGACATTTAACCTTTCTGGACCTCATCTTTGTCCCCATAGATCAAAGGAGAAGGTTACAGAAGATTGCCTGTTAATGCCCCTTTCAACTCTAAATATAATGAGTTTAGTATGTCATCAGCGTAGTGTACTTTTGCTAAGTCTGGAAACTTGGAAAGTGGGCAGCTCCCTTTGATTCAGGACAGAAAAAAGTGACTAATGAGTAAAGGGAGAACTTCTTTCTATTAGCATGCGCCTGGTGCTGATCTACCGTGGTTGAGGACTCAAAGCAGTGGCTATCAGTTCATCAAGGCAAGCAGGACCACCACAACAAGAAAGGAGACCCACTGTGGCCCACGCCATGCAGCCCATGCCAGGCAAAGGCCCCAAAGCATGATGAGTTACAGGACCAAACAGCGTCCACTGTAGAGCCTCTGACCTGAGAGATGACTGAGTTCTTGTACTCCCAAAGCTTCCGGGCCTCAGCTTTCTCTTCGTTGCTCAGCAACTGAGGCTTGGGAGCCTTTCCAGAAGCCCTGGCCTCAATAAATCGTGTTGCCAAGGCCCACAGGCGCTGCTGCCATCTCAGCACTCCAGGGAGAGCATCAGCTGAGTGAATTGTCAATAAAGGAGAGAAAGAGAGGGCATACAAGGATCACTGGTTTGCTTATAAGTAAGCCGAGAAAAGCACCTGTGTGTGGATGTGACCTTTCCTTCTGCTCTGACAGACTCATTCATGGGTGAAGATGCACCCTGGCTTCCGGTGTCTTGAAGTCAGAGTAGGACTGATTCCATCACATTCTTAGAGGCCCTGATATGGCCAGGCTACCTGGAGTACTGCCCAGGATTGGCCCGGGAAGGGATGAGAAGCTCAGTCAGGATGGGCAGCAGGAAACTACAACAATAATGCCTGTGGTACCAGAAGTGTGTTTGGAGCCACAGTGGGTTGTCCCTGTGTGTGAGCTTCTCATTTACATAAATACCACATGGCCAGGTAGCACACTGGCAGCAGTCCTTACTGTCCCTGGAGTGGAGGACTCAAACCGCTACACTAGTTAGGCAGGTGGGAATGACAGTCTTCAAAGGGATTAGCAAATCTAGCTTTCACCCTAATCTTGAAGAGTGTCACCTGGTGGCCCAGGGTCACATGACTAATCAAATTTGGGCCAGTCCAGGTCCTCAGGTTTGAACCCACCCAACATCTCCTTGGGAGGAAGACCTGGGGAGCTCCTCTTGTCATGACTATAGCCTATGGAACACTTCTGCTCTGTCACATGGGGTTGCTATGCATTGAAAGAGACTTGATGGCATCCACCAACTGCAACCAGGACCTTTTACTTTCTGGCCATTATTCCAGGTGTCCTCATACCTGGATGTACACCAGGCCCATCTGAGGGGTTCTGTTAACACAGATGCCTGGAATCTGTCCTACAGGTTAGGGCAGGGAGCCAGAGTCTGCATCTGTATTTTTACCAGCACCCCCACAGATGCCACCGTAGCTAGTTCTAGGACTGGCATCCCTGAGCTTGGTTCCAGGCCACACTTCTCACCAGCGAAGGCATGCTGAAACCAACAACCATTCCGCAGATAATGAACACACTTGATGTAAGTCTCATGATCCCAGCCATCAGATTTTCTTCTTTCCATTAACAACTGGGGCAGATCACAGGGAGGAAAGATGAGTGCTTCTCATGTGTGTTCTGGACTGTCCAGATACTCCCGATTATTTTACCTTACGTCATTTTAGATCTAAGCAACTTTGGTGAGACAAATCTCCCCTGAGGGGATCTGGAGGCTGTTGTGGTGTGGCTGAGGAGGGCTCCATCTGGAGCTTTCTGGGTTGGTGAAAGAAGATGACATTGCTCCACGGGAAAAAAATTAAAAACCTTTCTGGGCAGATAGGGGTGTGGGGCGGCTGGAGTCTTTAGACAACAGCAGGCTCGGGAGCAGCATGCAAGCCAATCTGTCTCCATGGAAAGGTTGTGGTCCCCAGACAGAATCACCATTGAGCTTATTCAGAGGCAGATTCCTGGGACCCTTATCTGACAATTATGTCAGCAGTTCTGGAGTAAGGACTGGGATTTGCAACAGGTTTCCCAGAGAATCCTCAGAACATGGGTCTAAGAAAGGTACAGGCTTTTTAACAATTCACTACTTGCTTTATGCAACAAGATTTCTTCTTGTCTTCAGCAAAGGCATTTCCTTTCCCTAACTTCCTTCCGTGTCCAAGGCAGATCACAATGGAAGCAGAACAGGAAGCAAGAATGTGACTTACTCTTCACATCCCACAAGATGTCCTTCTCAGGAGGGGCAGCAAAAAGGATGTAAAGCCGAATCGTGTCGATTCCATACTGCTCCACTACATCCTCGGGGTCCACCCCATTGTGCTTGGACTTACTCATCTTCTCCCATGTCACCTCTAATACCTCTTTTGTTTTCGAGTGCACAGGAACAGAACCTGGAAACGAAAAGAACACACAGGTATGATCTGTGTTACACTGAATTTGATTCTATCAAAGCGCATTATGAGAAAACACTGGGTGGGCCATTAAAAAATGTCTATTTGAAGAATGCCATGAATCCACTTAACTTGCCTCTTTCTCTCCTTCTATGAGGCAGTCTGTATATAGTTATTTATTTAACTTGATCTTATTTGTTATCATTGTTATTGATATTCCACATGCCGAATATACATTCCTCCTGCAGTTTCCGCATGTACAATTCCACGACATTCATCACACGCTTCCTGTTGTGGAACACATGCTCACCCTCCTTTTCTGAGTTGTTCCTCCCCCATTCACACAAACTCACTGCCCTCTAAAAGTCCTTTCTAATCTTTGGAGTTGTCATCAATTTGATCCCAGGGACATTGTGTTAAAGGAGCCCAATGCTCAAGGCAGACATTCTTTGTTAGGGAAGCTAAGTTATGGTTTGCGTTTAAGAAAACAGGGTTCCTTGCTATTATATTATAAAAGAGTTTTATTTTGTTTTTTAAAAGGAGGCTTGCTTCCCTCCCTTCCTCTCTCCTACACATTTCAATGTCATGAATAAATCGTGCAGTTACAAGAGCATGTGCCAGTTTTTTGGGTCAACTGCAAAACAAAACAATATTCTCCGGTATGAGTAAAATGTTTTCATGCAACAAGAAAAAGTCTAAAAATGAATCCTTGTACACACTACTGTTTCCTTTATGGTTTCAGGGTGGAAGTTGGCAGCAGACCAGTTAGGGTCTCTGGGCAGCAAAGCCCCCTGAGAAGTCACTTGTCCTCTAAGGCTGGTCCCCCTTCCGTGCTATAGTCGTTCACGTAGGATATGGCACAGTCTGGGCACCTGCATGTGGTGGTCCCTTGGGTGGTGACAGCCCAAACACAATGACCTTCCACTCCCAGATGGTGCTGGTGGAGCAGGCCTTAGCTGGTCACGGGTAGACGAGGTGACCTTGTCACCAACCCCCAGTGGGTGGAACCAGTGGAGGTCTTCTCCTCAGGGAGTGGGTCTAAGAGATACAGGAACTCTGTTCTGATGTTGTGGGGTACCAGAACCCTAAGGTCCTGAGGAAATGATGCAAGACTTGTTCACTTTGTAAACGGAACTCAAACCTGGCCGAATTCCAAACTGAGCGGAAAAGAAAAGCAGGGAGGAACTAGAAGCTGGTGAAGGAGATGAGGAGACAGCAGTAGTCTGGTGACTTCCTGTTTCCCATAAGGCCCGGTGCTATGTCCCACAATTGGGTTTGGGTGATGCCCCCTCATTAGTCTTGTGAAAAATCCGCCTTTGAGTAGATTTCTGTTTCTTCTGACTCCAGCAGCAAACCCCGAGAAACTGCTCCATATACCTACAAGCCACCCCACTTCCTGAGAGGGGTGATGGTTAAACAGATGCAAACCAAAGCATTCTTGCAGGGTGGGCAAGTCTGAGGGGGAAGTCAGAGGATGCCCTGAAGGTTCTCAAGACTGCTTGGCCCCACAACATGAGAGCAAAGCTGAGACTGTAGTCCTGAAGATGTGATATCCCCAGACCGGAGTGAGGCTAGAGGACCACTGCCTGTCCGATCACACCCTTGGACAAATTAGGAAAGAGGCATTTTTCTGGTCAGAGCAATTAAGCTAGAAAAAGGCACCTTCTCTTGGAAGCTGTAGCCCTAAGAGGGTTTGGCAAGTGACTCACCTCCTGAGCTGGGTGCCTGTGAGCAGTGAGCAAGCTGCCAGCTGTACGCAGCGGCAGCCCTGCGTACAACAGCGAGCACCTCGCTGCAGGCTGAAATCCTGAATGGAAACCCGATCTGAATCGGAACTGTCCCTGGAGCTGACAGAGCCTAGGGCTGAGGAACAGGCAGTGGGTGTCTGCACTAATCTTCAGAAAGCAAAGGCCCAGAGCAAGCAGGGGCGTACGTCCCTGAGGCTGATGCTTCTCTTTTGAGATTTCCCCAGCCAGCTGGGGCCTTGTGGCATGAGCCTGCTCACTGGGTCTCTCTGACTTTTATTCTCTGCAAGTACTTGGATGGGACCAAATGGGCCATTCTAAACTGACCCTCTTACCTGTGAGATCGATTTCTTCTCTCTGCAGATATTGTCCAGAAGGTAAGCGGAATGTCTGCCCCTTGATAAGGCCTTGGGCCAGCAGCTTATGAAAAGGCTCTCTGATGAAAGAAAACAGGAAAAAGATGTGGGTGGGTTTCCGAGGAGCCGCTGGTGAGTCTAAATTGCCAACCTTGCGGTCCAGTGCTTATCCTATAGAGCCGCAACAGGACTCCGGGGTGGAGACTAGAGGTATCAAAGAATCAGCACCACACCCTTACCTGCAGAAACAAATGACCCTTGTGAAAACAGTTACACTGAAGGGCATCATTTGTAAACCATCCTTGAACAAATGGTTCTTTATAAATGAGCAGTAAGAAAAGCAAGTCAAATCAGCAGGTCTTAACTGAAGAGCTATACTTCTCTATGGTGAGGTGGAAGAAGGACCAGCCTCAGATTTGGAAAGCCTATATTCCAATTACAATTCTGCTTCCTAATGAATTCTGAGACAAGACAAGCCTCTTACTTGCTCTGAGCCTCAGTTTCCTCAACTGTAAAATGGGAGTAATAAAAATATGCCTCAAAACATGTTGGAAGGTTAAATGGGATAGCTGCAAGAAAACATACCTACTCCTCACTAATAGATTGTCGTTATCTGACATTGCACACTACTATTGGATTACTTTGTGCCCTGAGTTTCCCCCTGAGCCCAGCTTCCCACTCACAAGGCTACCGTGCATGTAGGCTCCATTCAGCAGAAGCAGCCAGCTCTCCAGGACACCCTCTGCCAGCTCCATCTCCACTGCCAGAGCGAACGCTGCAATTCTTCTGGCAAGAGGTGACTGAGGGAGATTCTGAGAGAGCCCTTCTAAGAAGTAGCCAGAAGGGCCTGGGAGGAGGTTGCTGCAGCTCCCCTCTATTCAAGAACCCTGGAATGACCACGCCCTGCAGCAGGAAGGGTACTAGGGGCTGCAGCAGACGCCAGCTACCCCTCTGCCTCCATGACCTGGGCTGCTGAGCACCTGTTCCGAGTAGCTATTAGTCTCCAGGCTTTCAGCCTCGGCTTCCAAACCTTTCAAGACCTGAAGCACATTTCTCATATCTGTGGGTCCTTCCAGGCTTGCGGGGGACAGGAGGCAGCTGGGGTTGTGGAGGGGTAGCTGTTGGGGGCATACACATGGACAGAAATCCCCACCAGTTGTCTTGATCCCTCGTCTTGCAGGTTGCTCTAGTCCCAGAGCGACCAACTGTGTCTCTAGTCCAGCTGCCAGACCTTAGGTCCACTGGAGGGCCAACCCGACAACAGGGCCTTGGGATTAGGAGCACAGCAATTCTGAGGGTCTGAACTCCAGGGCCACCTCCTCACATAATGCTGATTTTGCATAAAAACCTGGGCTTTGGAATCTAACCATGTTGTTAAGTGAGAAGTGGGTGTACTTATAATTAGCAAAGAAGCACACAAATGTTAGCTATGTGCTGAGCCCAGAATAAAGAGGGGTCCCTGAGGACATAGATTCTAATTCAACAAGGTGACTTGTCACATTAACTTTATATATGGTGTCTGTTCACGTTCTTAAAAACATTAGAAAAAAAATCATACAAGTTAAAGATGAATATATCCTTTTTGCTCAAATTTAAACACTCCCTTCCCTTCTCTGTTCTAGGCCTATTGCTCATTGAAGTGACAGTTATATTTGGTATATATGCCTGGAAAAGTGGAGGCATAAAAGACAAGGTTTCTATATACACAAATGTGTATACACATATGTATATAGTTTTACAGATCATTTTGGATTTACGTAAGTGGAATCACATTATTTATTATATGAATGGATTTTTCCATCACAGTCCATATAGATCTATCTTATTTTTTAAACAGCTATCTGGTGTTTGACAATACAGATAATCATTTATTTACAGTGCTGGATTTTAAAAGGTGGTTTTAGTCACATTCCCACATTTCTAGATGAATATTAAAATATGTTACCTTGTAAAAGGACCAGTACACGATTTATATCAAAATTATCAATGTTTTTAGGTGCCATTGAGTTGGCCTTTAAAAGGCAGTGTGGAAACCCACATAAGGTTTTCTTGGCTGTAATCCTTACAGGAGCAGATGGCTGGGTGGGTTCCAACACTCTTTTTCAGTTAGCAGCCATGCTGAGCCATCAAGGCTCCTTATACCAAAATGACTTCATTTGAAACGGTCTACTTTTTTTTATAAGAATTCACTTGGTTTATTTTTGAAGGTGAGCCAAGTGCTCTTCCAAACTCAAAGGTTGATTTATGGGGCCATGGGCTGACAGTGTGCGTCTACTTCACATTTCTAAAGCTAGCAGGTAGGAATGCTGCATAGGAGACTGCGCGCTGCTCTCCGCCAGCATCGACAGCATCACTAGTCACGTGCTGCAGCTTTCAGGCACAAATGCTTCAGTGCTTCTAGTTCACTTACATAGCGTGGCTTCCATTTCACTTAACGACCCTCTTTCAGTTCAAGAAAGCTACCACTTCAGAAAGACCACCTAGTGATGTATGGAGAAAAAAGGAGCTGGCTTTGTTCATTCAGTAACAGTTGCTTTTCATACGTAAGGCCATGTAATTTAGATGAACTACACCACTGAATCAGGACTCTGGAAAGGCCCCTATCTGAACAGTGGTGTAGACAGAGGAGATTCAAAGAAACTTTCTAATGGATTCAGGGGAATGATGTAGAACCAAGGGACTGACTAAGAAAAAAACTGAGTCAGTAGGAAAAAAATAACTCTTGGCTTTCATATTTAAAAGTCTTGTTAAGAATGTGCATGTACATGTATGTGCATGTATGTGCATATGTGTGTCTGAGGCATGTTTGCACCATTGGATGTCACAGGGCCCACCCAGAGCCCTACCGCGTCAATTTAGAAGATACAACCCATGTGCACACAAAATTAATCACAGTGCTATTCAGGCTCTAGTATCCTGGAGTGCTATGGCTCTGCAGGATAAACGCTGGACTGCCCACCAGTCATTCCTTGGGAGAAAGATGAGACCTTCTCCTTATGCAAAGATTTACGACCTTGTTTTTGTTGTTGTTAGGTGCCACTGAGTTGTGTACCAACCCATAGCGACCTTATGCACAGCAGAACAAAACACTGCCAGATCCTGGGCCAACCTCACTACTGTTGCCATGCTTGAGTTCACTGATACTGCCACTTGGCCAACCCATCTAGTTGGGGGTCTTCCTCTTTTTCTCTGACCCTCCACCTTACTAAACATGATATCCTTCTCCAGCGACTTGTCCCTCCTGATAATATGTCTGAACTATGAGAGACGAAGTTTGTCCATCTTGGCCTCCAAGGAGCACTCTGGCTGCACATCTCCCCACATGGATGTATTGGTTCTTTTGGCAGCCCATGGTACTTTCAATATTCG